TTTTTTTTTTTTTTTGAGACAGGGTCTCACTATGTAGTCGAGACTGACCTGGAACTCAATAGGTAGCCCAGGTTAGTCTTGAACTCACAGCAATCCTCCTGCCTCAGCCTCCCAAGTGTGGAATACAATGTATTTTTATGTGATCACCACAGTAGAAAATGTAGATGAAGATTTCTATTTTTTTTATGACAAAATGAAGGTTCAGATTAATTAAGATCTCCACACAAGGTTAGGAAAGTGGAAACAGACGGTTGTTGAATCCTTCCTTTGGGATTTTAGCTGCCTTCTTTATGACAGTTGGAAAAGATTCCATTCTCCTGCCATGAGATTTCCAGTGTTTCTCCTTTTCCATCATGGGAGGATCAATTTTTGGAGCAGAGAGTGAGCCCTTTAGTAGACATGAAATCTTCTGGCACTTTGGTCTTTCCAGGAGAACTATAAGAAATAAATTGATATTGATCATAGATCACCCATCTGAGGGAGTCTATTATGGCAGCCCTAATAGACTAAATCTCTCTCTCTCTCTCTCTCTCTCTCAACTAGAAAATTCTATTCTAAGTGATGCTGTGCTTATCATTGCACTTTTATTTCAGATGTTACATTTAGCTATATATTTTGAGTTTCCCTATACCTACTGAAATTCTTCTGAACTATTTTTAATATCATATACATATAATATTATATTCATATACATATTATACCATAATTATTGGAAAATGACATATCTGTGCATACTATTTTTTTCTAGAAAGTGTAAGCCCTTTCTACTTGGGAGTCAATGTGATTATATGGCATGTTGTGTTTACAGGAGAAAAGAGATATTGACCATTTTAATTTTTTTGCTATTTGTTTTTTACTCCTGTAGTCACATTCATTCAGCTGATAGGGGCTTCAAATTTAATTACACAGTTCCCTTATAGTTATACCAACTCCAAGTCACCAAGAAGAGACTTTTAAAAAGTACTAGCAATTACACTGGAACAAAGATAGGTGCACTTTTTCTCTGCTTACTAGTTCATTTTTTAAAATTGTGCTTCCTTGAAAGCTGTCTTGGAATGATAAAGGTTATCTGACCAAGAATTTGCTCATCAGTGTAAGGATTTAATAAGCTAATATAAACACTATGGAAATCAGTGTGAAGATTCCTCAAAAATCTAAAAATAGAATTTCCAGAGCCTGGGCTATCCCTCTGCTAGGTATCTTTCCGAGAGTTAAAATTATCCTATTACAGGAATACACACATACCCACGTACATAGCAGCACAATTTATAATAGTTGGATCTTGCAAACAACCTATATGTCCATAAAGAGATAAATGAATAAGAAAATGTGGATTTTATACACAATAGTGTACTACTCTGTCAAAAAGAAAGATAAATGAGGCATTTTTAGGTAAATGGATGCAACTTGGGGACATTTTGTTAAGTGAAATAATTCAGGCACATAAATTCAAATATTGAACAATATATGTCATGTATCACATATATATGAAATATATATAGAGAGAAATTGAAAATAAATATATAGGGAGATGAGGGAAGTTCAAATAATTCCCTAATTCACCTATTCTACTCTTTTAAAAATGATTTAATGTTTGTACAAATGTTTTCATTTATTTCTCTTAGTTTACTGAAATGAAAGTTTTGCACTATTGTCTGTTTCTTCCTTGTAAGAGAGAATCTTTGTATCTCTGAATGACTCCTTTGAAGATAATTATACATGGTCTACTAATTTTTGTTTTTCTCGTGTGATTTTGTCATGAAGTTTTTTACTTTTTATGAAAAAGTACATTTCTAAATCAAGATACATTTATAAATAGCTTGAGAATATTTCCCCTAGCTATATTTTGCCATTTGCAGCAAGGCCTTGATTGAGCCCTGCAACTCCCTAAAGTCCTCAGAGAGGGGGCGCCCCCCGGTGGCCCACCTGGCCTCCAGGATACAGTTTGCAGAGGTCGAGGGTGGGTGAGATCAAACTGGAAAAGAGGGTTGAAGACGAATCTGAGGCTCTCACCAGGTCTCCCTGCCCTGATCTAGGAATGTGCCTATCACCGTGGCTGTGAGATCAGCCCACTTAGAAGAAATGGCTTCCAGTGCCCACATTTACCTCAGGACAGAGTGCTGTCTGTATCCTGGGGAGGAGGCTATAGGCTTCACTTACCAAAAAGGACACAAAGCATCCTCAGTGCCTACCACATGTGGAAGAGCCAGATAGCAAGAGCCAAAGGCAGCAAATTAAGAGTGAAAGAGCTGCAACCAAGGTGCACAGCAGGGAAGGTTTGTGGTCAGCTCTTCCTCCACCTCTCTGATGACTGATGCTTCTGGTCAGTCTGGCTGTCAGAGCATGAAGGCCTCCATGGGAGGAGGGAAGCGGGAAGGAAAGAGGCTGAAAGAGGAATTAAGATGTGTAATGTACACGTAGCAAATTGACATAGAGGTTGTGAATATTGTACACTGCTAACATAAATGAATGAATTAATGAATGAACAATGAGTGAATGAATGGGTGGATGGATGAATGAAAAAGAAGACCCTGGTTTTGGGAACTGACAGGAAATAACACCTCTGGGTGTAGGAATGCAAAATCAAGGCTTGCCTGAGAAATAAGCCCTGCAATGAAGGTAGTGCGGAGAAGGAGAGCAGGGCAGACATACAAGTCCTCCTGGTGTATCCAAGCCCAGCTCAAGGGACAAGAACTGAGAGAGAAGCTCCTGGGACCACAACATTCTTTACAAGCTGTATTCAGTAGACTCCACCCTTCTCTTAAACCAGTTCACTCAAAGAGTTCTCACGTCCCTTCCTTCCGTCTTTGAAAACTGCAGTAAGTTCCCTAATCACATGGACTCTGATGGCTTCAGAATAACTGTCATTGCTCTATCTGGAGGTCTCTTTCTCTCTTCCTCAAGGATTTTGTCTCTACATATAACACATAATTATGGCTAGGATATTAGTTATTGTTATGAGTAATATTGTATACAAAATATAAAGATCTTTACCACAGACAATTTCAAAGACACCTGGAGGTGCTCTTTACAACAGAAGCTGTGCCAGAGCACAGAGCGCTAAACTTTTAGGTACTCTTCTGAGTCTCCTGCATTCTCTCCACCCAATCACGTCTTCTGGTTGGGAAGCTGATCTCCTATTGGCTACCTCAAATCTTTCAACTTCCTGCTTTGTGACATCATCCAACTGCCCTACCGCTGGCTGGTAGAATGTTAGGGTTTCTAAGGAGTGCTCTGAAGGGACGTCTGGATCGTAGCTAGTGGACAGAGACCACTGCTCTTCCCACTGAATACTTGTTTCCTTTGGCTTCAGCCACCCAGATATCCTTCATTACCCGCTCCTTGTCCTTTGTATCTGCAATCGCTATTTCCCCTTCTCTGACTATGTCAGGTAAGGATAGATACATTCAAAGGTCTTTCATAGTACATATTCCCTGTCCTCCCAAATCAATTTCCTAGTGGGGACCAAACACCTTGGGAGACTGGAGGAAGGTATTGAACTGGAAATTTGCAGACTGACTTTCATTTATGACTTGAATCTTTAGTAGGGATGGGACCTTGGGTAGATGATTTACTCTTGAACAAAAGTGTTTGCTCACCTGCTCCTTGAGGCTGACCAAGTGCCTATTCTCCATTCCCTTTCTTTTCTAACAGAGTCTTAAAGGTCATAGGAATAGAAAATCTAATCCAAGAAATATTGTTAAGTGTGTTTGTTTCAACAGAAAATGGGGAAAAAAACCTGGGTGGGGTAGAAAACTGCTCTTACTGAGATGATGTTCAAAGTGGACTATTCTTATGTTATAGAGATTTCTCTCTGAACTAGGTGAAAACACAAACAGGGAGACCAAATGGCTGGGCTATATCCAGGCAGATTCTGGAGGAGAAGGACATTGGGGAGGGTTTCCATGAAGCAGAGGCCAACAGAAACTGCCTAGAATTGGAGGGAAAAATAGGCAAAATAAAAGGGGAGTAAAATAACAAAAAGAAAAGAGATGGAGGGCAAGGGGATGTTCTCGGGAAAGGAAGTTGATAATGTTTAGGCTGGAATCTTGAAGTCCACCAAAGGCTTCAAGTGACCACAGAAAGAGCACAGAGTAGAATCTCTTCAGACAAGAGCAAAACAAATGGGCTTGCCGAATGCTGCCTTTAATGGTGTGAAGGAAACCAAGGCTAGCTTAGTGTTTCCCTTGGAGAACACTCAGAAATATCATGGACCGTGATTGGTTTTTTCCTATTGCTTATTCCAACACAGATGCCCCTTCGTATTACTTGAATGCTCACATTTGGATATTTTATGAGTAATGATTCCTTATACAAATGTTAAATGTCATCCTCCAGAGGGGCCAGGGAAACAATTTTCAGCTTCTACTTTAGATTGATTTTTAAACTAACCAGATTTTTTAAAATGATGTGTTTTACTTCTTGCGTAAGAAAGACCTCTCCCATTGTATGCTTGAGAGTTTAAGCTGAAAACTGTCATCTGTATGACAATCTTCTTCGAAAATAAAGTGCATTTTGCTACCAACATCTTCATTAATATTCATACTCATGAATAGCTTTTGACACCCGAAAAACCAAGGAAATACCTGCTCACATATAAAAAGGAAATGTCATGCTGGGCATGTAGCTCAATGGTGCCGCTGCCTGCCTCACAAACGCAAGGTCCCAAGTTCAATCCCAGGTACCAAAATAAATAAATAAATAAAATAAAATAAAATAATAAATAAAAAGAGGGCTGGGGATTTGGCTCAGTGGTTCCACCACCTGCCTCACAAGTGCAAGGACCTGAGTCTGATCCCCAGTACCAAAATAAATAAATAAATAAAATCTCTCATTTCATACTTATAAAAAAAATTATTGTTAGCTCCTGTGAGATTTCCTACATTTTCAAGAATTGTTTTAGTTTCTGTTCTCCTAGCTATATGTGAGGCTGAGGCAGGAAAGTTATAAGTAAAAGCCCAGCCTGGGCAAATTAGTGAGATGCTATGTCAACAAAACAAACACAAAACTAAAAGTAAGAAAAGAAAAAAAAATATCATTTTCACTGTATTCTAGCAGTGACAGATTTGCTACGTTTTAGGAGAGAAATACGTTCCTGATATACTTAGTAGATTGTGAAGAGAAATTGAAACTTTCATGATTCTTTTTCCGTGTGACTTTCCCTAGCTTGTTATGTGATAATATCAAGTGTCAAATCTCTCATGGGATAAACATCTACTGCTTAGTAGGTATATTCAAGACAAAAGTGAATGAGTACAATAATGAAATTCCTTTACACTTGTTTGCATTCCATGCTGTGCAAAGTTTCTGTCTCTGGTTTTTTTCCCCCCCTTTTTTTTTGTTTTTTTGTTTTTGAGATGAAGTCTTCCACAGGTTGACCAATTTAGCCTCCAAACTGAATTCTGAGCTGATCAGCCCTCCTGCCTCAGCCTCCTGAGTACAGGAGGGACTATAGACATGTACCACTATTCCCACCTTCACACCAGGTTTGGAACATGAGTTATGATTTGCTAGATGTGCATGTTTATCGCCTTTGGAGGCTTGTTACACACTTTTCACTGAAGTTCTCTCTCTGCCTACATTTACTCAGGAGAACCGCATTCAAAATCATCATCTATTGGGGGCTGCCTTTGGTTTATCCTGTTCCCTACAATAGAGTAAATCATGTTTATTTTCCTAAAGTTGCAGGTATAACAGCACTTTCTTTCTCCATAAATTCACTACGATTTCATGCTTGCTAAGCAAACTAGTAAATGAACATGCTGTGATCCTTGCACTGCATTTTTTATTATATTCCATATGTTCATTTTCAGTCTGTGATGCTGTACATTCTTCATCTTACTCTTTCTGCATTTCCTGCACCTCTTCTGTCTCCATCTATGCCTAGCACATGCAGTGCGTCCCTTTTGTGCATGGATGAAATGTGCTTATTTGCAGGATCACTTTGTAGATGAGTAACTTGCAGGTCAGAAAGTTTAAAGAAAATTTTTCTTCCCAAAAATTACTTCTTGAGAAACTAAAGCTCAGAAGTCACAGTGACTTAGGATCAGAAGTTAGGCTTGAGAAAGGAAAGAATGACACTTGCAATATACAGACCACCCTGGCTTATAAGTGATCCCCGGGAGACGAGGGTCCTGCACAGCAAAATGAGACACTGAAGATAACAATGGCAGGAGCCATACTGTCTTCTAGCCAGTGAATAACAAAAATGCAGAGATGAAAAGCTCCTTTCCTGTTGGTTTCTGGCCTGTGCTCAGCGCACAAAGTCCTGAGAGGGGAGTCAGGCTCTGTTACCCAGTCCCAGTAGTACACCATGGGAGGACTTGAACAAGTCAATGGGCCTCTCCCATCTCAGTCTTCCCACTCATAATGAAGAAGGTTACAGTTCACTATGGATCTTCTAGGTCTGAAAGGCTCCGAATGCACCACTCAGGGTCCCGAGTCAGTGTGGAGGAGGGCTGAAGGGCAACCCAGGGCAAAGAAGAGGCTCTTCAGGTGTACAGAGCACACATGGATGGGATTTATTGGATCTTCTGTGACCCAAGTGGGAGGTAATCAACTCATGGTAACAGCCCAGCACTTAAGGACATCCAAAAGTGATTCCTGGCAGCTCACAGGCATCCTGATTACAAGGACCTTAGGATAGATAATATTGGTGCTCAAATGTAGTGAGAATTTGTTGGTCTCACCCATGTTTTCATGGTCCTTTTGCTTCTTACAGAAACTTTCCAAATCCCACTATCCATGGGAACCTTCAGTCCTCTGCAGCTATCACCTTCCATCGTGAGCAAGGCTACTCCCCTAACAGCAAGTGCTTGCAACTCCTCCCAAGTGTTGTCTCCAGCCCTCAGTTCAGCACAGCTGCTGCCCTCAGCTTCTGGCACCTACTTCCAGCCAGTCATGGCCAGCTCCTACGTTCACCAACACTTTAGTGAAAGTAGGTTTTCAGGGGCTACTGGCCAGAGCCAGATGTCCTCTTCAGTTGTGTCCTGTCCAGGTATTTGGCAGTGGGATGGCAGGGCAGGCTCTGGAAGCACACATCCACCATTTGAGACCTTTACGATGACTGTCAGTGACCAGAGCATGACAGTTGTTTCCTCATCTATACCTGTCCATGCCAATTCCATCTTTCCCGTTTATCCATCCATGTCTGCCAGCCTGGTTCAGGCAACACCATCACCGTGCATTCCGAACCAAGGCCATGGCCAGTACTACAATCAGAGTGCAGTGGGGCCTCTGCTAGCTGCAGATTTTGGAGGACTGCAACCGTATGAGTGTGTGTCACACACAGGCAGTGAGACCGCTGCCTCTCAGCCAGAGATAGCAATGGTGCTGAAGGAGATTCAGCACATAAATGTCCTACCATCAACTTCTCCTGACATCTACTATTCTGGATCTGTTCAAGCCAACGCAGAAACGAGTTTCCAAGGTGGGTACTCAGAGCAGAAGGAAAAGGGATCAGGGTAATAACTCTGAAGGAGGGTTGAATCTGCTGCTGAGTACTAGTAAGTGCAGAGATAGGCAGAATTTCAGTCCTGAGACTGGCTGTGCTTCCAAACTCTGTAAGTAGGGAATGAATAATGGTCATCCCTGCTACACAAGAGAAGCCTAGGAGTCCACTGAGGCAGGCCACACTTTTCAGAACCCTTGTGGATGAGTTCTCTTGTATTAGCCCTCCATAAGAAATTCACTTTACTCCGCTATTGCTGCAGTCCCTTTGGGAGACACTTCCAAATTTATGGTAGTAAGGACAGTTTCATTTCCCTCATTTTCACCAACATGTAAGCCCTGATATTTCAAAGATCCTGTCCAAAGCATGTGCCTCGGTACCTGTCCTGTTCATGTTTTGCATAGGGAAGACCTTATCTCTCCTAGTACAAGAAGTATTATTCTTATACCAGCCTGAGAGGAGAGCCCTGAGTGGACCTGATAGGAGGAAGCTGCACTTGAACAGCGCTATGAGAGTGCACATATGTGGGTGCTTGCACATCTATGTGTGTGTGTGTGTGTGTGTGTGTGTGGAGAGAGAGAGAGTGAGAGAGAGTACAGTGCTCGAGACGGAGCACTACTATTGCATAGTAGTCAATACTCTGCCATAAAAACACATCCTATTCTAAAAATCGCTTTCATGTTCCCTTTGACTAAGAACAGTCCTGGACCTAAAAAGAAAGCCATGAAACAAAGACATCAGGTGACAGGCAGGGCAAACAGTTAGCTCCTAGCTACTGAAGCGAGGTCCTGTCCATAGACTCTAAGGAGAGCCAATGAGAAGGCTCTGTTGTCTCTTGATGGGCTCCTGAGGGCTGTGCTGGTGTGAAGAGGGGGCAACTCACTCATCAAAGACTGATTTTTTTCCTCGTTTCATTTGCAGTGAAGGGAACTTCCCCAGAGATAGAGACATACCTGGGATGTCAAGCCCTGAGCCAGGCAGGGTTTGTGTCACAACTTCCAGAAACCATGGATTCCTGCAGTAGTATCAGAAGCACCCAGTTGCTAGAGGGAAGCCCCCCAACTGAGCTTGGGGGCATTTCCATAGGAACTCCAGTGCAGAATTCCACTCATTCCTTGGCCTTGGAGCCAAGCTGGGAGCAACTAGACAAAGAGAACTGGAATGAGATGAGTAGCAAGGGCGCAGAGCCTCTTGATGCTCACAAGATCTTAATAAGCACCCAAGATCCGCCTTTACTCTCCTTAGCACTCCCTGACACACCCAAGCTGCTGGCTTCTGTTGAGCATCCAATCCCTGCGAAGCCTGGTTCTCAAGAAGCCCTGCTGGGAAAGTGCCACCTCGGTCTCCAGGACCAAGGAACCCCTGACAAGGGGACTGAGTCCAGCCCAGGGTGGGCAGATGTTGCAGCCCTGGTAAAGGACATTCAACTTCCCCAGGTGCTCCATTCCTTGGACGATCTTGATCAGTCCTACCAGCCCACACACATAGAAGCCCAAGGCGCAGGTACGCTTGATGAAAATCCTGTGCAGGAGAACTCAGCCATCACCAAGGGTCTTTCACCTAGGGAGAGAAAGAACAAACATAAAGCTTCTGAGCCAATCACTGGAGCTCCTGAGGCTAAAATCCAGCTGAAGGCCCCTGAGAGCCTATCAGAGGGAGAAGGGTGCATTTTTAATGCAGCAGCCAGTGACAGGGCTCCCACGGACGTGGCTGAGAAGTCGTACAGCAAATTTCCCGTAATGGTATCCAGCAGAACCAACCAAGATAAGGGCCGTGGGCAAGTGAGAGCCAAGAGAACCAAAGAAAACAATGACAAGAAAGCTCTTAAGAGGAAGCAGTCAGGCACTAAGGACAAGGCAGAAGAGATGCCAACAATTCCTGACATGAGGCGCAAGAGACACCAGCCCATGCTTGGCCGAGAGGTATTTAAAATGCCTCGCACCTGCCTAGGCATGCACATGCTGGAATCTGTGCAGGTGTTCCACCCATTAGGGAAGAAGTTGGAAAAGAAAGCTGGGAGTGTTTCCTCCCAGGCCCTGAGAACATCGAGTGTCACCAAAAATCTCAAGACATCTTCAACCAGCAAACCTTTGCTGGGGGCCCACGGAGAGGGGAAAAACCCTGATAGTACTCGGGATAACTTTCAGAACCCGCAGGGCACAGTTGAAACAGGGCCTTCATCTGCATCCCTGTGTGAGCTGCCACCACCTGGCCAGGTGAAGTTAATACCTTTGCCTTTTCTCAGCCCAGAAAAGCCTCAAGCCCGACCCAGTTGCCGAAGGCCACGACCACCCGTCTCACAGCAGCCCGCTGTAGCTCACCAAGCTGGACCTGCTGGTGACAGAGTTCAGCCACCCCTAATAGCTGCTGGCAACACTTCTCTGGTGCGTCCTATCAAACCAGCCCATCTGGTCCCTAAAAATGCCAGCCAACCACTCTTGACCTCTGAGGTCCAGCCTGGAGTTCCTCCTCGGTCTGCAGTGTGTAAGCCTGCATCCTGGGCAACATCACCTTGCCCCGCTCTCAGAAGAGTGCCTGTTGCCACTGCTGTGACTAAGCAGTGCAGTTCCCCACCTCAGCCACACAACCCATATCTCCTCGAAGACTTCAGCCGCCAACCAATTCCCTGGAGGGAGCCCAATGTGCCCGAGCCAGTCATGTCGAACCCGATCACAGAGGAGCAGAGACCGGAGCGGGAAGCCATGAAGAGGCAGGCTCAGCTAGAGCGGGAGCTGGCTGCCAAATACACCTCCTTAGGGAAGCTGCAGTTTTTCAGGCAGAGGGAGAAAGACAGGGAAATTGCTCAATACTACGGATACATAAGATGAGAGGCAGCAGCACTGTCCAGTCACTTTAGTGCCAAGTGGTTATCCACAGAGATACGGAAAGCTAAGTAGAGATTTGCTGATTTCGATGTCTTGCTGAAGATTGACATAACCGCTTCCTGGTTATTTTCAGTAGAATATAACTCCTCGCCAGGGGAGCTCAGTAGAACCAATAGATAAGAAATAAAGCCCACTTTTGAGTTTTGAGATGGGAACAAATAGATAGGAAATAAAGCCCCCTTTTAAGTTCTGACATGCTGTTCACTGTGTTTTTCTTTGGCACAGGTGGGGATCAAAGGCTGTATTAGAAGGAAAGTACTTAATGCTGGATGGGAGAATGTGGGCACACAGGTTAAGAACTGGGCAAGGAGAAAGAAATAAGATTCAAATAAAAAAGGCCAAAGAGAAGAGATCGTGTGGGCTTAGAAGAATTGAATATGGGTAAAATGACAGGAGACACTAAGTCTTGGTTCAGGGTGAAAAGAATACAATTTGGACAAGGTCTACGATGGCATAGGATGGGGGTAGGCAGACCAGAGGAAAGGCAAAACACCTCTCATGGAGACTGGCCTGCTGTCACAAGACAGGCTAGGCCAGCCTTTTGATCTAGGGCAATCCCCAACATACTTGAATCACCTACGATTATAGTTGGGAAAAGTGGTTCCCAAATTCCAGTGAAGCTACCAGGGCACTGGCTGTCCTGGGGGCAGCAGATGGTGTGATGGCTGGCCAGATGAGTGCAAGCATCCCAAGGCCCACCTAGAACATGGCCCAGAAGAGAAATCACCACTTCCACAACCCCCATGCACAGGGCAGCAGAGAGGCACCACTCCCTTCAGCTTCCAAACACCTGAGGCCAGTATCGCTGTGCCCCTTTCCAGGCCAGGTTCCACAGTGGTCTGGGATTCCCCTGCAAGTAAGGCAATGAGGCCTCACTGTGGGGCCCAGGACCCTCTGAAGTCCTCACAGAGTGGGTGAGTTGCCCACCTTCTGGTGGCCAACCTAGCTTTCAGTGCACAGTGTGCAGACAGAGGTCACAGTTGGGTGAGATCAAACTTGTAAAGGGGTCTGTAGATGAAGTCAAGGCTCCTGTCAGGTCCTGCTTTCCTGAGATCTGGGCAGGTGCCTTGGTCTGGGAGTGTGGTCCTCAGAAGAAGAGTACAAGAAGAACCAGCCTCCTGCATCTGCTTCGGACGGAAGTGAACACAGGTGTACCCTCTGGAAACTCTGGACCCAAGCACCAGAGGGCTCCAGGATTAGGGGGCAGGAAGAGAGGATGGGGGTGTGGTGGGAGGGGTGGGAATTGGTGGGATGGAGGTGGGGGCAGGAATGGAATGGAAGGCAGCCAGCAGGGGTGAGGGCAGAGGACCCGCATTAGGGCAATGCTAGTAATTTAGGTTTTAAGAATGAGTTCTTTGGCTACAATTTTTCAAACAAAATCCATCGCTTAAAAATACAATCCACTGGCATTTGGTCCACTATGAGATTTATAACATTTCATCATCCCAGATGGAAGCTCTTGCAACCCATTCGCACTGTACCAACCACTAACCTCTCTGCATTCGCCTATCTGCGCCTTGCTGGCACGTGGAGTCATACAGCAGCCAACCTTTTAGGTGTGGAGTCTTTCACTCAGTGGACTTTTCAGCCATATAGAAGAGAGTACAGCTTCATTTGTCTGTATTCTGTTGTGCTGTATGGGTAGAACATGTTTCTTCCTCCACTCACCCATCACATGGTGGACATTTGGATGGTTTGCTCTAGTAAGTGACATTTCCTGAGGGTTTATCCTGTGTCCTGTGGCACTGGGATAAGTTATTTACCCCATTCATAGATTAGGCAATAGAGGATGTCAAGCACTGGCCCAGGTTAAGAGCTAGCAACTGCCGTCATTGAACTTGAACTCTTAGGCACAGAGTCATCGAATCGGAAAGATAAAGGAGTTTTCAGTGGAAGTGCACCCTTCACCTTGCCAGCTGACCAGCTACCCTCTTCTTTGCTCTCCTGGATTCACCTGGGTTGGCTACTTGGTCCATCAATCCAGGGAAATTATGGGCTCACCTGCACGTGCATGTGCCTACCACAACTGATGCAATTCTCTGTCCCATTCACTTGAAAGCACCGCATTTGCCTTATTAGTATGTTAAATCTCTATGTTCATTGGCATTACACTTTGCAGAATCTTTCAGGCCTTGGGGCCTTGCTAATTTGCCCTTCCTCTGGAATCCTTTTCATCATCTTCTAGAGCCATCCCTGAGAGATCCAGCCTAGGCATCCCTGAAAGTTGACTACACAGAAAAAGGATTCAACCTGTAGATTTCCTCATCCACAGCCAGCTCCACACACTTCCACTGTTTAGGACTCAAATCTGACTCACCTTATCACAGACACAACAGAAGGGAAGAAAAACGAGCACACTGGTCTTTAGGGTGGTAAATAGTAAGTACATTTTCCATAGAGAGCGTATACTCTTTAAGAATTTCATGGGAACAAGTGATTTTTAACTTAGTGTAGGAATTATTCCTACTAGCTGTATATTTTACCATCTTCCTACACTCTCAAAATTTATAGTTTTATAAAATTGTTGGGCAGAAATATATTTATTTTAAATATATGATGGCTGCTTCAGCGGGCCTGTTCCTAGTCCACGTGTGGAGAACACAAAATAGAACTTAAATTTCAACCATTATGGAATTTTGGCAGTGGTCTGTCTTCTCGAGTTCATTTACATAAAGTGTAGCAAAATTAAACACATTTTCATATTCTTTTATAATAATTTCCTAAGTTGATTTTTACCTTGGGCTTCAATTACTAATGAGTTATGAAGATAATCCCAAACTTAAAGTAAACATTTGTCACCTTTTCTTACCAAAGTTTTCTCCTCTAAAGATTTTATATTTTTAAAATCCTGGGATGATGTAAAAGGGATTCAGTATTCAAAAATAAATTCGCTTCCTAAAATTCATCAAATGTAAGGGAACATCTATGTATTAATCAATTTGTCAAGAGACAAAAATCAAGCTGATGAGAATAAGTGATCTTTAAACACTATAATTTAGGTTTCAGAAATGTCATTCTGAGTTCCCATATGCTTTCACAGTTTTAATTAGTTTTCCATAAATAATAATTTGAAATTTGTGAAGAAACCATGAAAATCAATCTTTATTTTTTTTAATATTTATTTTCTAGTACACTGGAAAAGAGAATTTTGTAGCTTTGTGAAATAGTTTAATTTAAAAATGTGATTAATATATTTTTATGACATTTTTATTTTCTTCTTCCTTTTCTTTCTTATCTATATTTTTTATGACAACCAAATTTCTTCTGAAAGAAGACTTGTGTGTCCACAAACTAACTGAAAATAATTTAAAGATTTCAAGTAATTAACAATAATAGTAATAATAAAATAATTGATATGGACAGGTGTTCTACTAAATACTGAATAAGTTTGCTTATTTATTTTTCATAATTATTTTTATAGCAAATCATAGTATTCTAATCCAATTTTACAGATAAGGAATTTAAGGCAGCACAGTTAGTTAAGATATGATAGCTAGTATTTTGCAGAACAATTAGTAAAAGTTAGCCCATATGTCATCAAAGCCCAATTTATTTAAATTTAAATATGATTTTGTACACTTTGAGATATTAATTATCTCTAGGCAGCCTCTAAAGGTAGGCACTATATGACATTAGTTCATTTAGCCTGCATAAAAACTACAGTTCAAAGTTTGTTGTTTCTTTGCTTGTTCTATTTACATTAGTACTTGTTTGCAATATATAATAATTACGTTCCCTGTGGAGCTTTGGTATGTATGCAAGACACATCTTTCTTTTTTTTTTTTTTTTTTTTTTTTTGGTATCAGGGATCGAACTCAGGTCCTTGTGCTTGTGGAGCAGGCGCCAGAACCACTGAACTAAATCCCTGGCCAAGACACATCTTAATTCGTTTCACATTTCCTTTCCTTGACCTCTGCCACATCTCTTGATCCCTTTCCCATTTGACAAAAATTTGTCTGACTGCTTCCCATTATGTATCTTTTATTTTGCTCTTTATTTGTATTTTGAGTTTCTCATTTAAGAGAAAGCATGTGATATTTAAGTTTGTGTGCCTGGTTTATTTCACTTTACATTATGGTCTCCAGATGCATCCATTTTCCTACAAATGATTAAAGTTTGTTCTTCTTTATGGCAGAGTAATACTCCACTGTGTACAAACATCTCATTTTCTAAAATCATTTCCATTTTGTGTTTCACCGGCATTCTACAAAAAATGATGAAGTAACTTGTCCACCTTTGCAAACAGTAATGGTAGAAAAAAACAAACAAACAAAAAAACAAAGACAAAAGCCTTACTCGGTGTTCTAGGTCCTGTCTCCATGTCCCAGTCTTCTCTGTTATTCCAGTCTACTTGTTCATCTTGTACTCTTTCAATTTTAGGTATCTTATTTTGAAAAATAGGCCGTATGGTTATTGTCCTGTTAATGCCACCTCATAGTGAGCTCCACTTAGGGTGGTGCTAATCTACCCTAAATCACAATTTAGGAATTATATGTGATTCCATCGTGTTTACCTCTGCCATCTACCCCATGCTTTGATTCCATGTCCCCATAACATTGTTCCTTCTCAACTTTTATGATAGTTGTCTCATTCAATTTCTTTTGGTAATGTTTATGTCTGAGTGTTATCTGAACAGAAAAAGTGTCCTACTATCTGTCATCAGAAACACTTATTCACAAATATGTAGTTATCGTGAAAAGGTTCATCTATGCCAGTGACAGCAAGCTTTTTAAGAGACTGAATGGTCAAACTGCAACCCAAAATCCACTTATTTATTGTGAAATGCCCATGCTGCAATTAAAGCTGAATATTGAGATGTTTAGTTTAGAAAAAGCTCATAGGTTAATATCTTTTGTCTCTAAAGAAAAACACAATGTGTGCCACAGTTTCGCCACCACCGACCTCTGCCCTCTGAATTGCTAGGTGGTTAGAAGACGTCCTCGTCTTATTAGGCACAGGTCTAGGAGCCTCCTCTTCATAAGGCCTTCTCCTCACTGCCAAACACCAGCTGAATATTTACCTCTGCCTGTAAATCTGCCCATAGTGTCAATGTGGTAGTCTGTGTTAAAGCATTACTGAAGTCCATGAATTTCTATTATTAAACATTTCAAATTAGCAGGGGTAATTGAAAAGCCAAAAACACAAAATAGTGCCCCTGGCTGGAAAGTCACATG